CAACTTTAAGCAAACATTTAAAAAACCAAATTCAAAAATATAAGAAAATAATTGTGTATCATGACAAAGTAGAGTTTATCCCAGAAACAGAAGGTGGAATTAAGATTTTAAAATTTATGAATGTAATTCACTCTATGAACAACCTACAAAAAAAAAAAAAATCTGATATTTCAATAGATGCTGGAGAAGCACTGGATTTAAAAGTCCAACATTCATTCTGATAAAAACTCTCAGCAAACTAGGAACAGAAATGAACAACCTTGACCTGAAAAGACTATCTATGAAAAATATCTACACATTTAATTCTAGTATCACATTTAATTCTCAAAGGCAAATGTTTTGCCTCTAAGAACAGAAATAAGGTAGGACATCTATCCCTCCCATAATCTCTGTTCAACATTGTATTGGAAATTCTAGCTAGTGCACTAAAGTAAGATGAGGAAATGAAAAGCATCCAAATTAAAAAGAACTAAAATGGTATATTTTTTTCAGATGAAAAGATCATTTAAGTAAAAAACCTTACAGACTACAAAAAACTTGTTGCAACTAATGAGTTTAACAAAGTTGCAGGTTACAATAGGCAAGGGCTGTATTTCCATATATTAGCTATGAAAAGTCAGGAAACTAAAAGTAAACGAATTATACCATTTATAATAGCGTCAAAAATTTCAATCTAGGGGCCAGAGATTTAGCTCAATGGTGCCGCAGCCACCTGCCTCCCAAGTGCAAGGACCCAAGTTCAATACCCAATACTAAAAAAAAATTTTCAATCCATAAATTTGACACAAGATGTGTAAAACTTATATGCTAAGAACTACAAAATGCTGCTGCTGAAATTAAAGAGATATATCAATGGAAAAGTATGTACATTTCATCGGTTAGAGGGTTGACTTCACTAACATATGAACTCCACACAAATTAATTCATTGATTAAATACCATGTCTATCAAAATACTAGCATCTTTTTTGTTTTTTTTTTTGTTTTTTTTTTAGAAACTGACAAAATGATTCTAAAATTCATAACGATCCACAAAGTACTCAGGATAGCCAAACAAAAGAACAAATGTTAAAAAAAAGAACAAATTTAGGGGCCGGGGATTTAGCTCAGCAGTTCGGTGGCCTGCCTTGCAAGTGCAAGGACCCGAGTTCAATCCCTGGTACCAAAAAATAAATAAAAAAAAGAACAAATTTAATAGATTATTCTTTAACTTTAATGTTTCCTATAAAGCTGTAATACACAAGACAGTAGAGTATTGGTGCCTACATATATAAATAGATCAGCAGAACAGAAGTTCACATACATATAGTCAACTTATTTTTAGCAAAGATGCAAAAGTAATCCAACTGAGAAAGGATAATCTTTTAATTGGGCATCTATATGCAAAAATTGAGCATAGACCCTTACCTCATACCTTGTACAAAATTTTACTATATGAACAGTAAATCTAAATGTAAAACCTAAACAAAACTTCTAGAAGAAACCAGAAGAAAACCTCATGGCTGAGGGTTAGGCAATCATTCCTAGATATGACACTAAATCCACATATTCATCAAAAATGCAACTCATAAAAAAACAAAATTTAAAACTGCTCTCTATATTTGCCCATCTATTGGAAACTGGATAAAGAAGTTGCGGTTTTTCTATAAAATGGAATATTACTCAGCCATAAAGAACGAGAAAATAGATTCATTCATAGGAAAATGGATCCTAAGTGAAATAAATAAGTCACACATGGGTAAATACCAAATAGTTTCCCTGGTGTAAATAATCTGCAACAATGCACAAGATTCTAATAAGATTACTGACATTTAGAAATGGGAAGAAAGGAGCTAAAGGTGTAGGGAAGGTGGGATGGGTAGGGGAAGAGTAAAAAGGGAAAAGAAAAAAATGTGAGAGAATGAAAAGAGGAAAATAAAGTGTTTGTAGATGGGGAGTGGAGGAGGGGGTGAAGGGAGGGCAGAGGTAAGGGGAAAAAATGAGAATAAAGACTTGTCATGTATAGAGGTACAAGATCCCAACAATGAATGTAACTGTACTGTATCCCTAAAATGTACCAATAAACTCAATTAAAGCTGAAAAAAAAAAGACACTTGAGAGAGTGAAAAGAAAAAATATATGTATCACTACCCATACCTATAGGAATGAATACTTTCTCCCCAGATTTATATACAAGGTTCTCTTTGATCAGGTCCCTAAGGAGATCTCCCTATCAGATCTCCTTTTCCAGATGGAAGTGGAAATAAAATACATTGCAAATATGCCAAAAGTTCACTCTACCAGAAGCCTGAGGTGCGGAAGCAGTAATAATCAGAGGTAAAATCACGTAGAGTTGTCATCTGAAAAATAACAAAACAAATGCACTGTTTTGAGCTAGGCTACCAAATCCAAATGGAAGGATTAAAAGGAGGTGAGTGAGATCAACAGGAGTCAACACAGAGAAGTCAGAGGCAAGCAGGGAGGAGGAAGATGAATGCCATCTATCTAAATTTGAGCTGGTGTTTCAAAGCACTGCTTTTGCTGGAATATAAGATCCAGTTAGAGGAAAAAAGAGGGAGTCATACATACCCAATACTCTCTTACCACTTAAGGCAGATACTGCCATTCCATGCTGCAATTTCCTGAAAAACACAGTTATCTTAAGCCCTTGAATCTTATTGCTTCTGCTCCTTGATAGTCCCTGCTTTTACTTCACTTGTCTTCTGGTGAACTACCACTCATTTTTCAAGAAATAAGTTACTACACTTCAACTATCTTACTTGGTTTTCTCTAGTATTTAGATTTCACTAGTATTTGGATGCTTAGTATATCTACGAATTCTGGCTGGCTCATTCTTCTAAAATCGATTCTTTCTAAAAATCAGGTACCCTTATCACCCTACGCAAAATTCTCACCATGCAGTTTCTTTCCTACAACATTATATGGTAGACAGTTGGAGTGAAGTTACTGTCACTTCAAGCCTGAGAAATAATGCTAATGTCAGAACATTAGCATTAATGTCAGAACATGTCATCAAGTATTTTAGGTGATACAGATACACACACACACACACACACACACATGTGCTGTGCACCTAATACGTCAGACACGGTGCTAAATGTCTTACTGCATCTCATTTAAGTTTCACAACCCCATGAGGGTCCTTATATTCATTTTATAAATAAGAAAACTGAAGCATAGATAAGATACTTGTCCAAAGCGCAGACTTGGAACAAGGTAAACAGGCTATATGCCCACAGAGACTAATAGAGAGACTGAGTTTTTAACTGGTCTATAAAGCTTCCAAAACGGAACTCACCTTTTTCCTACCCTCCCTATAACTCAAGTCAAAACCTTGAGTGTTTTTGTCTCATCTTTCTCTCAAGTCTCCTGATCTGCAATCGCCCTGCATCTACCTTAGTTCACTTCTTTCCTGGATGATGATAGTAGTTAACTACCTGCACTGTGTAACAATGCATATTCCTACGAATAGCCAAATCCGGGCTTTCCAAACCACAGTTAGATCATGATACTTCCAAGTGAATTATTTACCATGTTTCCTATAATCTCTGCAATGGTCCAAACTCCTGTGCACAAAGACAAGGCCTTTCGCCATCTAACCCCATTCAGTACCTCTTGCCATTTTCCTATATAAGAGTCCATATTCCATTCCAGCCAACCTGGCTACAAGTCTTTAAACTATATGGTTCTTTACATAGTAAACTCGCCCAGACTTTAACTTTCAACACAAATGGCACTTTCTAGACCGCAGATTAATATTAAACCTGTAATAATCCATATTTGTTTAGCACAAGGTGCCAGACACCATTCTAAATTCTTACGTTTTAATGTTTATTTAATAATTCCAATGATCCTACAAGGAAACTTGGTGCCACTTCAGTGTATTTACACGATTTACATATTTCTTTCCCCAAATTCTTGGAGGATAAGACTTCATCTCTGCTGCAGCTAGGTTTGTATTGTGCCCGGCATACAACAAAAACTGGAGCAGCTCAGTAAACATCTTTGAAACAAATGGCCAGAGCTGTGCCTCTAAGGCTCTTAACTGGAGACTTGGAAACTCTTCCTGGCCATTAGCCCTCTAATTTCTTCAGAGTAAGAGCAAAGCATAACAAACATGTTCAGTGTCTAGTACAGTCCTTTGTGAGCTTCCAAAACCTACAAGCATTTACCAAACGTTTCTGCTTAAGTACATGCATATCGTCAGATATATCATCAAGCTCTTTATTCAGTTAACTTCTTTTAAGTTTTTACAGATTTCCAGACTGGGATCCAAAAGGTATTCAAAACACATTCGCTGGTTAGTGATGACATCAAACACTATATACGAATTCTCAATAAAGGAATATGGAGCTTACTTTGGTCTCTCAGAAAGTCGATTTCTGTGGCCATTTCGATCTAATTTTTGTTTGGCGCTTTCACCACCTTTCTTTCCTCTAAAAAACCAGAGCTCGCTGTGCGGGAAAACAAAAACCTAAGCAACGCTTTAAGGTTGTCAAGCAGCGGTTCGGCCGCGATGTAATCAGCATCCCACTCACGCAGCGTCGCAGTCCTGCCGCGCTTCCCTCTCCCGGGTGAGTACCTGGCCCGCCTAGGAGACTTCAGGTTTCAGAGCTCGCGGGGACGCGCCAAGTGAATTCTGTTCCACGTTCAACCGAATCCCACCCGGGGGAGAAGGGACGAGAGTCGGTGGAGGTGGTCCGTGGATCACCAGGGGTCTTTCGGGCCACCCAGGTGAGCGAAGAGGCAGCCGGAAGGAGGGCAGTATGGTGGCCAAGTCCGCAGAGGAGCTGGGGGACGACCACAGACCCGCGGGGCAGCCCGGGCCAGCAGCGGAAGTCCACTTGGCCCGCCCTGCGACTTTGAAACCGGTGCCCCAGACCGCTCCTTGGAGACGGTGACGCTGTCTCCGTCATCACGCGAGCGTCTGAACTACGCCATCGCGCTCCTTACGGCCCTAGCACGCTATTGGCTCTCTGTCAAGTGATGGGTGGATCCGTGAGAGTCCGCTGGACAGCGCGCTGAGCCACAGGCTGCGCGCGGCGGGCGCCCCGGCTGCACAGTGCCTACTTTCAGGTGGTGCGCGCCAGCGTCCTTTTTTCTTTTTAACCTCCTTCCCAACGCCAATGTAACCCGAGTAGAGCGTTAGGTAAAAATCCTTTCGTACCTTTGTTTGCTAATATACTCAGCATTTCTGAACTAGGAGAGCTCGCTGGCCAAAGGTGAGTGGAAATGATGTAGGTTTGCGTGGCCGTGGGACACCCCGGACTGGTTTTCTCAGAACCCCCGGTCTAAGCTGTCCCTCTGCTGTATATCTGGGTATGAACCTGGTCGTGTGCAGAAGATAAGTACTGTCCTGTCCCTTGTCGGTCTTTAGAGTAAAGGATACAACTGTTGAAATTTGACTGTGATGTTATTCCATGTGGATAGAAGTACTTAAAGATCCTGTAAGTTTAGCAATTACTTCTTCAGAGAAGGAAAAGTTACATTTTTGTAAGAAAAAAGTAAAATGTAAATTTATAGATAGATCATAATTCCCAGTTTTAAAAATTAATTTTGTCTGGGTTTAAAACTTATAAATTTTTAAAAACATATAACATCGGAGGAATGACAATACGAACACGGGAAATGTTAAATTCAAGCCAGCCATTAGTTTTGTTATGTTTTAATAGATTGTATTTTTATGGATTGAAATAAAAGTTTCACTAAAACATGTCATAGGTACAGCTTGCTTTGGCTTTCTGTTCAACAGTTTAAGAAGTTTTTATTATTTTAGCCTTTACTCAGGATGTCATATAAAGGAATGCTAGCAATATGTATTAACAGATCTTTAAAATATGCTGTTAGGTATTTGAGGGCTTTTTATGGGCCTTACTCTATACTGTACTTGATTAGAAAAGTCCCTTCCCCCTAAAGGCTAGCTGAGAAATGTGCATGTGTAGGTAATAATCATGAAAAGATTTAATTTAGCCTTGAGTTGGTTAATGCTGAAATTGTTTTGGATTTTAATGGCCATGAAATTAATTAAATAAATAAATAAATAAATAAAACTTACTGGAAGGGAAACTTAAATGTGTAAGCTCCAACTCTGTTTTGAAATTCAGTGTCAAGTTTTTTCTTCATGAACTTCTCATCATCTCCCTGAGGACTTGCTTGTAACTTCCACAGTTGCACATTATGTGTTGTTATAGTTTAACTTGTCATTCAGCAAGTAGTTTTAATTCAACTCTACATTTACCTTCAAAGTTGATAAGATATATTAGTGTGGACGAAAGTAAACAGTGCCTTCTGATATAGATGAGTGGTTTTTGTGTAAATTCATTACTGAAATGGGAATACTTTTGCTGCATTTGAATTATTTGGCTTATATGATTATGGTCAAAGTCAGCACAGTTTGTGTGTGTGTGTGTGTGTGTGTGTGTGTGTTGTTACAAGACTTTACAGTTTAAATTTTAGTGAAGTATTTTCAAAATTAGTAAAAATTTTAAACTTAAAGTAGCCCGTGTAGCATTTTATAAATCTTCTCAAGTTTTCTACTTTTCCCAAAGATAGGTGTTACCTTAGCACTCAGTTAAGGTTTCTTCCTGCAGTCCTTATCATGGTGTTTTGAAATTTGTCCCCAGTCTCCATTATAAAACTTGAGCACAATAAAGGTTCAAAAAAATGTTTGATAAGGCATTAAAGATTTCAGTGAATGTGCATGGATGTAAATGGAGTACAGGGAATGAGACATGGGGACGAAAATGACTTAGTATGTGTTTATTCTCAAGGGACTATTTCATGTTTTTATATTAGATACCTTTTTGTAATAAAGACCATTGGAAATTACATAGGTTGAAAACTAGTGGCAGATTTCACTAATATTACTTTATTCAGTCAGTTGGCATTGAGCATGTAGTACTAGATGCACAGTACTAAGAATACTAAGTGGGGAAGTTTAAGCAAAGTTCAAATCTGATCATACAGTTAAAGAGTGCCGGAGTTGGTATTTGAACCCAGGAAGTATGATTCCAAATGTCACAATTGTTAACCACTATGTATATGCCTCCCCAGAGTATAATGTAATGCATAACTAGCCTAATATAATTTATAGTTTTTGTTTATATAGCTAGTTAGCCGTTAGCTGCAATACATGAATTATTTTTGTACCTGTTCTATTGTTATCTTAATGATTGATAGTTGAATTTCAAATTCTTGTGCAGCATTTATATTGGCGAATTACACTTCCTTCTTCTAGAACGACTTTCAGACCTAAGTGAATTGACTAACAGTCTTCAGTGGTCATCGGTGGCCCTTTAAGGTTTTTTCTTTCCTTAAAAAATCAAGGCTCTCAGATTCCGCCTCTTGGTCCCTCCCCCAGAAGATGTGGCAGCTTCCTTACCGGTCCCCTCCGCAGGGATGACCGGAAGACCTAGCGGGGCGGGGTTGGACTGAGAGGAGCTTCCGGGACTGGGTCTGTGTGCCCTTCTTGGGCTCGCTTCACTCTGTCATTCCTTCCGCTGTGGTCCGATCTTCTCGTGAAGGCTTTCCTTGAAAAATACTAGATTTCTGCTTCCTACTGGCCCAGATTACTTCCACTTTCAGGCCACGTTCTTCATTCCTCCGTTTCTCAGAGTGGATGGTGCAGAGGAACGTGCAAGCTGAAAAGAAATAGTTTTTGTAGAAAAATCGAAGGACTTGTGGATAGGGTGATTTGGAAATTTTCCTTGCAAATAGTTTCACCTTTCTTCTTTTTAACTTTATGGGTTATTTTTTCTCTCTCCTCTTCATGCTCCGAAGTTCTGTCGCCTTTTATTTTTTTTAAAGGTCCTTCCATAGTAGAGAGAAAGAAATGAAGATAATTGAAAAGTTATTCTTTTTTACTTTCTTTGGTGAAAGAGTAATTTAAAGAATAGGGTTAAAAACGAAAAGCATAGGGACAGCGATTTAGCTTAGGGGTTCCACCTCCTGCCTCAATAAATAATGAACATTATTTTAAGAAAGTCTCAACAACCAATATTAAAAGCTCATAACAGGATGATGATCACCTTGATAATATTCAGTTAGGCTTTTTGGAAATGTTCAGATATCATGTTATTTAAGAGACACAACCTTAAACATACTTTAAAATATTTTTTACGTAAGTAATGCATATTTATCAGTATAAAATTCAAATAAGTTAAAAATAATAAAATCGAAAGAAAGCTTCCTCTATATTTCAGGCAAATAATATTCTACAAAAATTCAACCAATGCTACTCTGCTGGTTACTTATATATGCTTCCTATGAGAGTGTGTGCATTGCAAGTGCATACACAAATGAGTTTACATTTTATTAATTACAGGCATAATTTCTGCACCTTGCTTTTTCACTTTACAATGTATTTTGCATGTACTTATAGACCCGCCTAATTTATTTTAACAGCCATGCTGTATTTCATTATATAATATAGCATCATTTCTTTGCCTTTCCTCTTCTCAACATATTTAACTTGCTTCTGATATTTTGTTATTCTAAACAAACTATTCTTATACTTATGTCTTTTTTTTTTTTTTTTTTTTTTTTTTTTTTGAGACAGGGTCTCATTATGTAGTTGAGACTGACCTGGAACTCACTATTTAGACCAGGCTGGTTTTGAACTCACAGTGATCCTCCTGCCTCAGTCTCCCGAGTGCTGGAATTACAGGTGTGCGCCACCACACCTGGATAATTTATGTCATTTTGATTGTGTCCAGGTGTAATAACTCCTAGAACTAGAATTATTGAGTCAAAGAATTTTCATTTTTATTTGATAGGTATTGATCATTGCTCTTCACAGAAACTACACTAATTATCCCACAGTAGCAATGCATGATTTTCTTTTTTCCTTACTAACACACTGTATTATCAAACTTTCTGATGTTTGCCAGTCTAAGTGAAAATTTATTATTGATTTAATTTGATTTTCTGCCCTTATAAGTGAGGTTGAATATTCTGCATTTTTGTTTTCTGTGAACTTATTGTTCTTGTCTTTCACCTCCTTCTCTATTGGGATGTTGGTCTTTATTGATTTCTAGCTTTTTTGTATTAAAAACAATAACTTATTTGTCTGAAACATGAGTTGCATATATATTTTTAATGAACTTTTTGTGATCCATAATGAATATATTCATCGCAGGGAGTTGGTACATGTACATATCTCATCTTAACCCTTTTTGCTTCCCCTTCACCTCCCCTCACTCCTCCTCCCTCCATCACTAGATCCCCTACCCATTTTCAAAAGGTCCAGTTAGTTCTGTTTCTTATTACCTATCTTTTATCTATTAACATTTCTTGAAACATGAAGATTAGCAAAACTAGGTACGTTAGAAGGGATTTCAAAGATCTTGGACTCATGTAACACAAACTTTATGTATGTGGCCCTCCCACTATACATGGTAACTATAAGATCCATATTCACTAAATTAAATGTATTCAAAATATGACTTCATCCCTCGGAATAAAAATAACGTTAGGAAGCAAGGGAAAGCATTAAAAAATTTCAGATAAAGGAAATAACAGTTTGGAGATATCCTCAGTCCTAAGTCAGGATTATGTATTGGACAAGACATGGGAACCAGTGTAATTTGGAGAATCCAACTATCCTATAACAAAGTTTTCCTCTCCTTGCAGATTTCCACCTGGCTGATTTTCATTCAATTTCTAGTTATGTTAATTGTAAGACCTTCAACAGATGTGTTTCTTCATTTGTAATGAGTGTAATAATACTTCCTATGCCATTTTGTAGTGAAATTAAATGAAGCTGTTGGTTAAATGCTTTCTCAACAAAATGTAATTTTACTGATCTAATACTATGACCTTCTATTGAATACTTAGGAAAACAATTTGAAATGTAAATAGTGTGTTTGTTTCATATATTCTTGATTTCAAAGTTTAAATGATTCTGTTCTCAGCTTTTGACTAGAGAGAAGAAATTAACCAAGCAAATGGTCTTTTAACAGTTGAAATATCAAATATTACAAATGCAAAATTAGTATATATATAGTTGGACAAGTGAGTATAGAATTCAGTTCTACTGACTTTCAAATGGAGTTTCTTCCTCTTTGATTTTTTAGCCATAAAAACAGGTGTTAATAATTTTACTGGTACTAATTTTTAGTTTTTAATCAAGTTGAATTTTATTATAAAGGTCTTAATTCCCAGAGGATCCAGTAACTCAGACCCCTGAATATTTTACAATAGGATAAATAAGAGAAAATATAAACTCACAATACTTATAGTTAATTATGTTAACAATTTCCGCAGTGGACATAATTACATCCTTAAAAACTGGTTTTGGTGCACTCTTTATGAGAAAACTAGAACTGAATCTAGACCAAATGCCTTAAAACTTTCAGGATCCAGCTACTTATTCTAGAATAGAACTTGAAGTCCATGGTTTGCCACAACACAGATGGTGCTTTGGCCCCTGGTACCCTCTCCTTGTCACTGTCAGCTGCCTGACTGTTATTTCACATTAAAAATTATTTTCCTTTATAACTAAAGAAATTGTGTGCATTGTTGTATATTTTAATATATTCCTTGCTTTCCAGCATTAGATGGATTTTAGAGTTGAACACACTTGGGATGGTTTTCCAGTGAAGCATGAGCCAGTGCTTGTCAGGCTGAATCCAGGTGACGGAGGAGTGATGATGGAAGTCCGTGCTCCATTTTTTAATGATCCCCCTGCCCCACTTGGAGAACCAGGAAGGCCTTTCGATGAACTGTGGGATTATGAAGGTAAGAAGTGCTGTATTTTATTAAAAACATCAATCTTTTTGTAATAACACCTCAGAATATTATTTTATCTTGCTGCTGGGAAGTGAGTGCTTCTGAGCAACTGACGTGCAGGATCTGATATTTCTTACCAATTGCTCATTTAGACTTTTCCCCAGTTATATATGTGACTTCAACTATGTAAGTAGGACAGTAAAAAATGACAATTACAAATCCAGAGTTTTAGGTCACTTCCTTATTTCTATAACTTAATCTAAGAAGAGTTCAGCATTCCGTTTTTCTTCTGTCTTCAAATTGCCTCTTTATCCTTATAAACCTTCTTTATGGAAGTTTTGGAGTTTTACTTATTAGAAACACCAATCAACTGCAAACTGAAATTTAGTTTTTAATCTTATACTGGCAAGTAAAGCTATCAAATAAAGGCTGAATGATATGCCATGAAATTACATGCTTTGAGGTTTGTTCTGTAATCCCCTACTACTATATTCTAATCAGGCTATCAGACTCAACTTTGTAAAACACTCATCATGATGCTACTCCCCAGATCACAAGCCCTTACTACTATCTTTACCCTAGGATAAAGTTAAAATTCTTCCTCTAAGCACTTAAATATTCATTAATTGGGCCACCGTAATGAGACAAAATGTCTTAACTTTTGAAAGGTTAGTAGTCTTACTATCTGTGCATATTCTCACCTACGCGCCTTCTTGGTCTATTTCTTGTGCCTTGAATGCGCATATCTATTTGAATGCACAAGGATTAATTCACCTCCCATTTCTTCAAAGATGCCTTTGGTGAATCCTGTACTAACATCTTTATATCAGACTTTCTGCCAGTGTTAATTTTCCATATGTTAAAAATAAGTTGTCCTTTTTAAGTTAATTTTATTGGTACATTTAAAGTATACAGTATAATGACATTCATTGTTGTAAACATAATCAGTCTTGGTTCTTATTTTTTTCCCATTCCCCTGCCCTCCCTTCAATCCCTCCCTGCCTCACTATCTAGAAAGACTTTGTTTCCATTTTTTTTTCATTTTCTCACATTCCATTTCCTTAATACAGAACTTTTGTACATGTATACTAGCTTATGGCATATATCTATGGGAATGCTCTGGGTACTAAACTTGACAAATCGCAGTCTCAGCACATCTATTCATAAACCTTCTTTCCCTTTGCTCTATCTTAATCAAGGGCAGAACAATAACTTGAATCACCACATATGGAAATTGTGAGACCTTTACAAGATATCCTTCTCTCCCATTCTCCATATTTGTATGTATTATAAAGCCTATCAATTTCACTTTCTAAATAGTTCTCTAATTTAGTAACTCCTTTTCATCCCCATTATCCATTGTGTAGATTAGGCCTTTATCATCTTTACCTTGGTTAGGGTGGAGCTTTCTAAATAATATTTTTGCCTTAAAGCCATTGTTTACTTAGAGAACAGAGTGAGCTACCTTCAGATAAAACTTTCCAATAGTCCCTGTCCTCTCAAGATAAATTTGCTTTTAATATAATACCTTTATAGGTCCTTATTCTGTCTGCAGCATCACTACCTCTTCCTATGTTGAAATATTTGCCCCCTGAAGACTGAACTTCTTATAGTTCTTTAAGTAAGCCACAGTATTCCTTAACTGTGTACCTCTGATTATACCTATCTCTTCCCCTAGAATGCTGTTTCTACCATTCCCCAACCAGTTCTGACTTATCTTTCAAGGTGGAGCTTACCTAGCATCTTCTCCGAGAATCCTTCCCTAATCCTGTTTTTTGCGCTTCATCTCCATTTTTTAATTTTTATTAGAATGTTATGCTTTACAAAAGAGAAATAAGAAAGGATGTGTTTTTGTTGTTTGGGGGTAGATACTGATTTATTTTAAGGAATTGTCTCACATACTGTGGAGCTTGGCAAGTCCAAAGTCTGCAGGGCAGGCCAGAGACTGGAGATCCAGGGAAGAATTGATATTGCAGTTCAAATCCAAAGTTGTCTGCTGATCCAGTTCAATTTTTGGAGGGTTAGCCTTTTCTTCTATTAAGACTTTCAACTGATTAGAAGAGGCCCACCCACACTATCGAAGATAATCTGCTTTACTCAGAATCTACTAATTTAAATCTTATTTTCATGTAAAGAAAATATCTTCTTAGAAACATAGGGAATAATGCATGATCAAATACCTGTGTGCTATGTGTTAGTCAAGTTGATATATAAAATGAACTGTTACAGCAGACATTCTAATTTGTTTAGGTAAAATATTTGGTTCTTCTTTTTTTTTTTTTTTGGTACCAGGGATCAAACTCAGGACCTTGTGTTTGTGAGGCAGGTGGTGGAATCACTGAACTAAAATCCCCCGCCCCTAAGTAAAATATTTGGAAATAGACATTACAATCTCTAAATTATTGATGGAACTACATCTATATCTTAACTTTTATTATAAAATAATATATGGAAAATTTGAAACATTTCAAATGTTTATACATAAAGGATTGAATCAATACATTATAAATTCTATAGAAGGATACTGTGTAGTCATTAAAAAATAATATATGTATATTCTGGAATATTTTTCATATGAATAAAAGCAAGGTCTAGGCAAGTATGATTCAATATTTTTTTTAATGTAAATAGATAAAAGAGGTTGTTGAAACACAGAAAATGTCTGGCAGGTTTTATTTAGATCAAATGGAGAAATAAAAGACTGACTACTTCATTCATGTTTATATTGTTTTCATTATTTACAAGAAAGATGTATAACCCTAATCATTATAAAAATTTTAAAATAGTACATCCTCCGAATATTGCAAGAAATTATGATTTTTAAAAGCCACCTACTTTTATCCCGCCAATCACACATCACCAGTCTTAACATTTTTGTACAGTTTGTAGGTATCTAGCCACAGGCACAAATGTACATTCTGTTTTCATATAAATTTGGTTGCTGCTCCTTGGCCTATACTTTGAAATCATGGATATCTTCCCATGCCAATAAATGTTTAAGTGTATCTTTGATTTTAATTATGCTACTGTATTTCATTTCATGGTGTTATTGGAATCTTCTGGCTTTTGGTTCTCCTGGATGGCGATGCCAAAATGTTAGCCTGCTTCTAAAAAGGGCTTGCTAATTAAACATTACTGGGTTCTGGGTCTCTCACCTTTCCCTGAGGGGTTAGATTCCAGGTTCTCCTCTCAAACAAAGAATTGAAAGAAAAGACCAAAAAAGCAGTGGCAAAGTTTATACGAGAAAGTAAAAGTGAAGAGTAAGAGAGAAATTAGATCTGCTGAGCGAGATTGGGTTGAGTAAAAGAGGAAAAAGCAAGATAAAAGAACACCCTGGAGAAAGCAGGATGGGGTATTGTGAGGAAATCTAGGATTGTACACTCTTGGTGTCTGCATCCACATCTTTATGCTGTCCAAAACCTGAGGAAACCTAGGAGAATTTATACATACAGGTTCTGAGAGGTGATTCTAGGATCACATGCCTTGGACTGATATCTAGTCTAGGCCCTGTTACTGAAAACCTGCTCAAGTTCTCCTGAGAAGTCCACATTCAGGGCTTTGGGAGCTGTTCTATGCATAGCATGTTTTCCTGTATTTTGTAAATGACAGGTCACGCCTACTTTGCAAGCCAGTTTTGGCAAGCCCTAATCTCCTATGTCAGTGGGATACATAAATGGCACAATTTGTTTATTAGTTTTTCTGAATAATAGATTTATCTACAAAATAAAAGGTGATATTATATAAAAAATAATAATTTACACCACTTCTCATTTTTGATTGATTATTCTTTGATAAATAGAATGTACTTCTTTTCCTCATTATCTGATTTGTTTCTTTAGGATAAGATAAATTCCTAGAAGAAAATAACTGGTTCAGAGTCTGTCTGTATGATAATATTGATTTCTCTTGACCTCAACAACACTAGGCTTTATAAATGTTTTTAATTTAAGTCTCTCTGACATGGGAGAAAATAGATGATAACTTATGTGTTTCTTCTTCCAGGCGATGTCTGTTTAGTTTACCTCTTTTACTACGGGAGATAGCATGGCAATTAAAAATTTAAAAACACTGAGTTAATTAATTTTATACTCTAAAAAATTAAATTTCTCAATATGTCTTATTTCTATCTTCAAAAGTTGTGGAAACATTTTTCTTGAATGATGTAACTGAGCAGTATTTAGAAGTTGAACTTTGTCCGTAAGTATAAAATAATTTTTCTAATCATTACTATAAAACTGAACATATAATTTTCTAGTTATAAATCATATAGTCAAGGTAAAGCTCACTGATTCCAGCTAATTAGAGGAAGCACTTGAATTAATCTGAATTATATACTTTTGTGTCATACACATATTCACCTATCTATGTATTTATTTATGAGGCATAAATAAGTTTATTGGGCAGAATTTAAAATACACTCTCAAAAAAATGTTGGTGCAGTATCTCAAGGGAGAAGCATACTACAGTCTGGAGTTGGAGATAATTGTATGTTTTGTGTCATGGAAATCTATAGGCTTTGTGAATCTACGAAAAATTTGAGCTTAGTTTGCATAAGAAAAGCAATAATCCACACCAAAATAAAGAGGTAATAGATCTTTACAAAAGAGAAAGGATAGCCCATTTTACAGGAGAAAGGCAGTGGCCTAGTCTATTGTATTTCTTAAAATTAGTTTTCTTCCCTTTATCTTATCAGTTAAGCTAATTTATCAACTTGAAATATCTTTAAAGGATTTGGGCTGTTATGGGCCTGGAAGAAAAGAAGCATACCAAGCCTAGGGAGTAAGGATATGGATACCTTGGGCAACCTTGATGATATCTTGAAGTTGCAGTCTTCTTAAAAGTACAGTTTTAAAATTATGATTCTCTTTTTCTCTTTTCTGTCTTTTTCTTTCATCCTACTTCATTTCCCTGCTGTGAGTTCAATCCCTTATTTTTTTTTTTTTAAGTTTACATAGCTTTATTATTACTTTACTGAAAAGGGAAAGCCTCAATTATGTCACAGACATTTTTATGCTAACTGGAGATACATTTAAAACTTCCCTGTTGCATTCCCTATGTAAGACCTAAAGTCTCACTTCCACTCCACGGAGCGTGAACAGCCGAAAGGCCTCCACGATGCTGGGCCCTAACACCCAGCGAGGCTCCGGGAACACGACAGAGAACCGAGAAACCCAGGAAGGAACACACCAGCCTAGATGGTAAAGAGACCTTTATTAGTCTGGCCAGACGGCACTCCCGGAGCCAGGTGGCTCAGAGAGGCAACTGCTCAGGGGCTGAGGTACTTTTTATAAGGTTTTTCTAAACAAAGAGTCAGGGAATTCACAGAACAAGACTGCAAACACATTGCTTATCTTATGCAGGAAATGTTCTAGGGTCACCTTTTGTCAAACCATTTGCCCCTGGGCAGGCTGTTAACCAAGGTAGCAATTAGCATATGAAGAAGCACAGTCTGGCCTATTAGCATGGAGTCACTTTGGCCTATTCAAGTCTTAACACTAGAGTTGAGAATTTTAAAATACACAGTGCATTCTTTGGTATAATTGAAAATGATCATTTACAATATGAATTTTATAGTGTATTTGACAATTCAGCATTGTAAGCATTGTTATAGAAAAATACTAAAGGCTGTGCTTTAAAGTTCAGATTCTATTTACAAAGACTTTATTTCCTTTCCCCTCCCCTTCCCACTTCCCCTTTAGCCATTTTCTTCCTATTTCACACTCCCAATTATACCACTTGAACTTCATTTACACTTTTAGTTTTTCACACTTGAGAAACTATTGGGTATTTATTTTGTAAATAGGAAAGGGTGAAAGGGGTGATCAATCCCTTATTCTTATGGGTACAAAGGAGCTGAAGGCCCATTGTCTTATGGCTGCACTAGGCTGAGGGCAAACATTTACCCTGCCTGACCAGCACCATATGTCTCACTCTGACTGATCTAAAGGAGACAGGAATATTGAGTTCTGTTGCTCAAAGATGATCATTTGTTTTGATAGTCTGGAAAAGAAGACAAGGACATTAGCAAGTCATTGATGCCCAAGCTTCATTTTGTTTAATGAGCAGGGGCCAAAAATTAATGGTCAAATATTAGTGAATAGTGGCTCCAAAAAGTTGCAAAAGTCAGACAAAATTATGCAACATTTAGTATAAGCCTTTTATCTTCAATATTAATCTCTATTTTCCAGAAATGTTAACCCAAGTACAACAGGTAGAGTTTAAGAGCATACAAACTCCCTCCCTTCGGGTTTGTCTGAATGTCTTCCTATTTTAGTTATAACAATGGCCTAAGAATATACTAAATAAAAAGATCTACTGTTTTTGTGACCATTGGGCCACTAAAATTTTTAGTGTAGCCTGAATCTCACTTCTATTTTGTAGAACTGAAGACATTTTGCAGTGATTGGCCTCCAGATAATATAAACATATAAAGTCTGGAGTAGATAACAGAAAGTTAGTTTATACCATAAAGAAAACAAAGTTTAGTGGCTATAATATTTATGTTGACATTTTTTTTCTCTATTGGCAGGCTTGTATTAGAAGACAAATCCTTACCTGAGGGGTACTTGCAAGTACAGTAAAATAACATAATGACAATACACTAAAGACACCAAAGGACACATTTTTGGAAGAGCTAATAGAACTGGGAATCATGACATCTCATGGCTGTAGGCTAAAGTGTTACAGGTGTAGCTGGAGACTGTCAGTAACAACTGCTGCAGTATTTGTAGCCACTTTTTATATTTAGCCTAGCACTGTTTTTATATTACTATTACTCTTTTTTGTTATACTTTCCTACTGGGTGTTTAACACCAAGTCAAAGTAAGACCTGTCTTAATCAAAATTAGTTTACCTGTGTATTTATCGAGTTCAGTTAAGGATCTTCAGGGGCTACTTTTTCTCGCTATCAGTTGTATTATCAGCCAGAATGGGTCAAACTTACTTAACCATATAGCTACCATTAGATGTGTGGAGACATTCCCCTTTTTAGTGACCCTGTTTTTCACCCAACGCACATTGGTTGACTCTTGCCTTATGGGTCCCAACAATCTCCTTGCTCAGGAAGTTGGATGACTAACTAGAGTTGCAGGGCCTTTTTGGAGGGTGCCATTGTGCCCCGGGTCCTGGCTGACCTTAGTGGGCAAGGGCCAAAATATGGGCTGTCCTCTTGGGCCTTTTATCTTCCTCAGCTTTGGTTTCCAAGCTTCGATTGTTAAACACTCAGAAGGTCAGTTACACCAATAGGTCTTAATACTAATTATAGTACTCCTTTTGGATAGGAAAGCCTTTGAAATATAAAGTAGGACCAGAGAGCAACTATCTATTTCATTAACTATGGTCAGCATTAGTATTAGGACTCATCATCATATATTTGTCCAAAAGGCAATGGCCACCATACTGTCACAATTGTTTTTAGAAGTCATATTTCTGCAGAATGTTAACAGATAATAGTTACAAAGTTTTACAAGAAAAATGGAAAATAAGAAATAAAAGCAAACATAGCATTTAAGGATAACAATTATGATGACATTATTATTCTACAGTCATTAGATTAATTCTATTATGTCTCTAAAAATTCATTGAAATTCCCTTTTCGGTATAAAATAACTTACTAGGTTACTTTTATCCAATTATAAAATATTAACTTATATAAGTAAATTCTCATCTAAATTTGCTAGATTTGAAATAAAATTTCTAGCTGGGTGTAGTGGTACATACATGTAATTCCTAGCACTTTGAGAGGCTGAGGTAGAAGGATCACAAATTCAAGTCCAGCCTGGACAACCTGAACCTCCACAAGTCTCTGTCTCAAAATAAGAAATAAAGGACTGAAGATGTAGCTCAGTGCAAATGCCCTGGGTCTAAGCTTAGGTACTATAAAAACAAAAACAAGGGCTGGGATTTGGCTCAGTGGTTCTGCTGCCTGCCTCACAAGTGCAAGGGCCAGAGTTTGATCCCTGATACCAAAACCAAAAACAAACAAAAAAACACAAAATAAAGTGTCTAAGTAGAATCTTCTTGTTTGTAGATGTACTTTATAGGTGGCTATGCCCAGTCTTTCACCACAGTAACACTGCCTGGACTACATAGTGATACACTTCAGAACACATAAACATAAGCCTAAAAGTCTATCATTAAAAACAGTTTTCCTGAGGACACCAGTGTGGTAAAGTATTCTCTTAAGTTTTGCATTTTAGGCTTGTACACTTGGAGAATATAAACATATTCAGCACACAAAGAAGTCAGCAAGAATTAGCATCACAGCTAAAAGTCTTTACATACTAATTTTTTTTTTTTAACTCTTCAGGTGAAATTTAGAGTTCTTTACGGGTTTTCATAGTGTAACAGCCCTGACAAGAGTCAAAGGATGTTTTTAGACATACACAAATACTTTTTACCCAGTATACAGGTTCATCTCATTTATACAATAAGAAAATGCTTGTACAGTCAAAGCCAACAGATGTTGATCAAGTTTTAGATGGCTGGATTTAATTGTATCAAATACAAAGAATAAAGATGCCAAAATTTTTGATTATTTTATATATTTAAGTTCTAGATACTATGTATGTTGTATAAAAGAAAGAACCTATTGATTGCTTTGCATACATTAAACTAATGTAATCTTAACCCCATAAACTTTTTTTTAAAACTTCTTAATATTAGAGAAATCACAGGCTTACAGTGTTTTTCATCCTCAGATATATACACACCACTCGTCCCAGATACATCTAGCATGGACTATGGCCTAAGATAATAGTTAAGCTGATTATTGAAAACATCTTACAATCTTAAAACTTAAAATTCAGTTTATTAAGAAATCAAAAGTAGAAAATACAGAAATTATCTTAACAAAACAGAAAACCGTTAGTTTTTGAATGATCAGCCCATAGCATTTTAACATTTTAAGAAATGTTTCTGTAGACATATAAAAGTATTTAACTTTTTAATTATATTAAACTTATTTATATATATATATACAGGTAGCTGTTTTGTTAGCTGTTTTGTTAAAGGGGAGTTTGTGTGTGTGTGTGTGTGTGTGTGTGTGTGGTACTGGGGATCAAACTTGGGACCTTGTGCTTGTGAGGCAGGCAGCAGAACACTGAGCCAGGTCCTGCCCCTTAGAGGAGTTTTTCTGTAGTTCCTCAGGCCCAGGGGCATCCCACTTAGGGGAATATTTTAAAATATTATTTCAATGTAGAATTGTATATTTGGTTTTTCACTTTTACTAAACTTAAGAAAATAGTCTTGGACGGATTTGGCTCTGGTTCTGCTGCCTGCCTTGCAAGCGCAAGGGCCAGAGTTTGATCCCCAGTACCAAGAAAAAAAGTCTTAAATTTTATATATATAATATAATTTATGAAAGCACATTTAATAGTCCAAAATATATTATCTTTGTATAAACTTTAAGAAACCAAGAATACTTGAATTTATATTTAGCAACTAATGATTCAGATGTTGTGAATGTTTATAAGCATCGACCCCATTTATATTTATTTCTCCATCTTAATTACTTTAGATTATTCATGAGAACAAAAGCACAGCATAGTTAACATTAAGATACACACACACACACACACACACACATATATTTTTTGTTTTGTTTTGTTTTGGTTTGGTTTTTTTGGAGACAGGATTTTGCTGTGCAATTCAGGTTGGCCTTGAATTTAAAACAGTCTTCTCCAGCTTCTAGGATTACAAGTGTGTGCCACCATGCATGTCCCTGCCCCACTACAATGGGATCGAACTCAGGACTTTCCATTGGCCAGGCAGGTGCAATACCACTGAACTACATCTGTGGCCCCTGTCATCTGGTTTTTTTTTTTTTTTTTTGGTACCAGGGATCGAACTTGGGTCATTGCGCTTGTGAGGCAGGCCACCAAACCACTGAGCTAAATCCCCGGCCCATGTCATCTGTATTTTTTAACCAAGGATACTACTCTAAGATGTATAATATATATAGACTATATATTTATCATATGTATTCCAAAATTTTGAATATATCAATGTTATTTTTAATTTAAAATATTGCTGGTTTAAAAAATGAATTTGAAGACAATTTTTTTCAAAGTGAAAAATCATAATTAAAGTCCATTTTTTACTTTCTAAATTTACATTATTATGCAATAACAGTCCAAAAGTAAAGTGAAACATGTGGGAATAATATGAAAATTTATATTTTAGGAGATTTTTAAATGTCTAGATTAAACTTTATGTAATTGTGTGTTACATAATTGTATATCATATATTCCTTCTTTTATTCATCATTAATTTTTTGAGTATGTACAGTTTCATTTTTGCATTCAGTGTCAAGAATAAAAATTAAATTGTATGTGGATTTTCCTAGACTCATTCAAAATATTAACCTTTGGATTTGCTGTCAAGTTTATTCCCTGGGGAACCTGCTTTACTTGATTGACAAATTTGTTTTCTTGTAGATATAAAAAACTAAAATTTTAAATTAGTAAAGTATTTAATACTGTAAATTTCTATATATTGTTGGTATTAATTTGACATGCATTTAAGTACCTCTCCATATCAATATCCAATAGGCTTTGTTCCTTAGCACTATGGCTAAAACATCCCAAACAACTGATCTAAATGTGATTTATATATCCTTTCATTTTCCCTTCTTTTGACTTTTTTGTACTAGGAATCGAACTCAGGACCTTGCTCTTTCGAGCAGGTGGCAGAACCACTATGCTAAATCCTCAGCCCTTGATTTTTTAAAAAAAAATAGTTAATTTTATTGGTACATTTAAGGTATACAATGTAATGACATTCATCATTGGAAATTTGCATCTTTACATAATCCATCTTGGTTATTATTTTTTCCCCATTCCCCTGCCCTCTCTTCACCTCTACCCCTGCCTATCTACAAAGACTTTGTTTCCATTTTTCTTTTTCTCATATTAATTCCATTCCCATCTTTTCTTTTCCCCCATGCCTCCCATTTCCCCTTCCCCTTTGCACCTTTTCTTCCTATTTCACATTATCTATTATACCTTTTAGTCCTTATTTATACTTCTTTTGATTTTTTCGCTAATTCTGATGTGGAAAATGTTTGCAATTATTTTTAAGAAGAAGAATTATATATCATGTGTTCTCTTCAATTAACATGCTAAAATATTTTATTGAAAAATATGATTGGCATAAATTGTCATAAAAGGTAAACCATTCAACTATTGTGTGATTACTTTCACCCTACATCTGAGAAAGCTAAGACAAACATTTATAATTAGTCTAGAAAACAGGAAATAACTTGAATCTGTCAACTTGCAAGTTTTACCCCTAGTTTTAATTTTGTTAGATAATTTATTTTCATAAAATGAACTAACACTGAATAAATAATTAGATTATCTTTTGTTAAGAAACTACACATTAGCTGTTGTATATAAAATTACATATTAAAATTGACAGGCATGGTGATGCATATCTATACTACCAGAACTCAGGAAGCTGAGGCAGAATGATCACCTTGAGTTCAAGGTCGGCCTGTGCTAAATAGCAAAACCCTGACTACCAAAAAAAAAAGAAAAAAATCCTCAGGGCCAGGGATTTAGCTCACCGGTCCTCCTGCCTGAGTTCGATCCATGGTTTGAAAAAAAAAAAAAAAAAAAAATCCCAAGTAGTTTGGTGTTATTTGCATCAAGATACTTAATAATCAAGAATCATGAGTTTGCCTCAGGCAATTGTCTTATAACAGTTAATTAACTTCTAGGAAAGAATATGTTGCTTTAATTTGTGAGAAGTTTTGCTCCTCCTAGGGTAGTCCTAAGCCTGAATTATAACAATGTAAATATTCAGAAGGCTTTTCAGTGGTGGGAAAAAAAAAAACAAACCCCCCAAAAAACGACTTGTTTTTTGATAGAATATTTAATTGAAGCAAATCCTCTGTGAAAATCTCACTAAAGATCTGTATAGAAATGTTTGATACAATCTTTTCCAGAGACAATAAATGTTTCATGTAAATATGTGAAATCATTTGATTCTAACTGATATAACTAATCCCAATTTTGCATTTCTGTTAGAATTTCCTTTTAAGCATACATTGTGATTGTTTTTTGTAAACATTATACTGATGCCTGCATTAATGGTGGAAACAGGAAAATACAAGAGGAGGACAGGTCAAGGGCAATTGAGTGAGAAAATAGATACAGATTAAAATCTTTGGCTTGTTGACTAGTTTTGGACAATCTATGCTTAGTGTTCTATATTTTCTGCCTTCTATTTGAGCCACAAGATAGTTTTCTCACAGAAATAACCTTTAGTAATATTGGGTTGAAACATCAAAATTGGTCCCAGTTTCCTTTATAGGATCTTTATTTTTTTAAACTGGTTTTATTAAAAATTCTAAATATTTTTCCACTTATTTTCCTATTGTGTGTCAGCTAGCCTAATTATTTTATATAATTTTAAAATTTAAACCGTATAAAAAGCAATCTTAGCATGTGAATCTTTATGCATTTGACAACAGTTGTGTCAGAAATGGTAAACCCAAAGATGCCATTTTCATGTATAACTGAACACATTGGTTCTCCCTATAATTATCTAATATTTTATTGCATCTTTTAATTACCTGGAATTTATTTATGAGCATACACACTACCAGATATAAAAGATAGTGAAGAAAATAACATTTGTTTCTTCTAAACTCTAATGAAGAATCTTAATTTTGGCAGCCATGGACAACATTTAGTGCTTTTACTCTGTGGAAGAAGAAATGTGTGGAAAGTAAGTAAATTAAAATAGGAAACAAAACCCTTAAATTACATAGGTAATATGTGTGTATTTAAAGTGTATGTCTGAATTTACCTTTTGTGTTTCACATGTTGTTCGTGTAGCAAGAACTTGATTTGTCATTCAAAGCATCCAAAGACGACACAAAATGGGAAGGCAAAGCTTATCTTCCATGGAATTATTTTCCACCAAATGTGACAAAGTTCAATTCATATGCAATTCATGGATCAAAAGGTAAAAGAAGTTATGAAGCCCTCTACCCTGTACCACAGCATGAACTGCAACAAGGACAAAAACCTGATTTGTGAGTAGATTTTTAGAAAAAAATTAATTCATGGTAGAGCAGTAGTAACATTTTTTCGTTAAAGAAGGTAACATATGTATACAAGTGCTGAGTAGGATCCTATTGTCACACCCAGAATGGCTGCTCTGCTGTATAAGCAGCAAACTGAGATTGTAAACTCAACACTGATAGTCAATTAAAGGGATGAAGTGTAAGAAAAGGAAGACACTTTATTTGTAAGGAGAAAAAAGCAGAAGAGAGAAAGCTACCCAAAAAAGGGGGTACAGGCTTCCAGAAAGATGGAAGACGCATGGGCCTTTGCCCTGGCTTCTTTTATTGGATGCCAAGGTCCCTTCCCCCTACCTGGAATTTGCCATAACCCAATTGGCTCCTTGGTCTGTCCTTGGATTAAATTGGGCCCCTGTGTTAAATACTTTTTACTTGCTGAAACAAAATACCCGACACCCAAAGTTAGAAGTGGAAAGGTTTTATTTGGCTCACAGTTCATAGAGGCTTCAGTCCATAGTTGGCTGGCTCAGAGTGGCACATGGAAAATGGATGTTGCTGAGGTGAAACAGTTTTTGGTGCCCACAAGGCAGCAAAAGCAACAGGAGACCTTAACAGTATCCTCCTCCTCCTTTTCTCTTACCTAGACTTCTTAAGGCAGGCAGCACTCATACCCTTAATCCTAGTGCCCTTGAACCTAGCATTGCACTATGAATCGATTCCAGCACTCTAAATCCAGCCACCTCTGAAAAAGCCCCACCTCATCTGCATGAGACTTTGAGGGACATCTAAAAAAGCTAAAAGAAATGGACACACACACACACACACACACACACATAAATTATATTTATATCAGCCTGCTTGCCTTTGTGCCCATTTCTTTTAGTGGGCATTGTGTAACTTCTTTCTGCCTGTTTGTTTTTCCTTGACAAGGCCTTGTCAGCAGGATGAGCAACTGGTTAAATGGGATGTGTGTGCATCTATTGTAGTAATACAGTGATCCTAGAGTAAATATAAATACAGTGGTTCCTCAGTTAACAAATTTAGTTTGTGATTTGGGGGAAGATGGCTGTTTGTGAATTTTGTTTTGTTTTTTGTTTTGTTTTGTTTTGTTTTATTTGAGAGAGGGTCTCACTATATAGGTGAGACTGCCTGGAACTCACTATGTAGCCCAGGCTGGTCTTGAACTCACAGTGATCCTCCTGCCTCAGCCTCCCAAGTGCTGGAATTACAGGCATGCGCCACCACTCCTGGCCTTGCGTTTGTGTTTTTGTAGGGAAAATAGCTATGGTCTTGTTTGTCACCCAATGTGGATGTTGTGACAAACGCAAAATTTTGCCAAACACAAAATTTGAGAACCGAACTGTTTGCAAACAGAAGCATTTGTGAACCAGGGTGTTCCTGTATATATCTGTATCTATCATCTGTCTACCTACCTACCTACCTAACTGTATGTATGTATATGTGTATATATGTAAGTGCACAGGTGTGAGTATCTTTTTGCTCTCCACCCTTGTCCTTGAGACTGTTTCCCAGGGAATTTCTGTAATAGTTTTAACTCCTAGTCAAGATTAGCCAGAATACTTAATGAGGCCCTAACTCTATTTTTTCCCTGCCTGTAGACCCCTGCCCACACCGTGCTTCCTGGTTGTCCTCAGTAAATATGGATTAATTTTGGACGGATATAATCTTTCTCTTTACTGTCGGTAATAGCTTCCCAAAGTAGTAACATGAGAAAAATCTTGCTAAGTGAGTGTTGCATTAGCTGATATAGAAATATGGCTTCAGATTCTTTTATGATCCCATTAAGAGTAAATGTCCTGAGGAATCAGTGTTTCCTGATGTTAGAAAAGGATTAATGCTTTCTCTTTCTGCAAGAAAATCTCTACATCAGTTCTCTTTCTCTAGTTCTCTTGGTAACCTCTTAAGCATAGGAACATCAACTGTATCACAGGATAACATTGGTTAGATAAAAATGGCCCCAGATTAGTAAATTACATCTGGGCTGAGAGTAATTTTGAGTGACTACAAATATATGATGAGACAGCTAGCTTTAGAGATCTCTTTTGATAGTCACGTTCCTTGTGGGGACCCAGGAGTTACTATAAAAGATCTAGACTCCTGTGAGGCAGCAGGCATTTCAACCAAGGCATCTTCAACACTTTTCCTATTTGAATCTTGTCTCCTTGTACCTGAAGCTGTCATCTTAGTGAGACTGTAGCTCCTGATTACCTTTATAAGTGTCCATGGGCTGCTGCAAAAACCAGTACCTTAGGAAGAAAAGCCATATACTGGCCTGGGCAATCTGTGTTTCCCGCACCAACTCTCTGAGTATGGCCAAGGCAGTCTGGTGAGTCTGAGTGTTTAGAACAGCCTAACAGAGACATCCTAGCGGGTATCACACTGTGGTGTACTGACCATCCTGCCTTTTTACCTTAGGGTATGCTGCACCATCCTTCTCCATTTGCTTTCTTCCTGTCATGCTCTTATTATACTCTACTTTTTTTTTTTTTTTTTTTTTTTTTTTTTTTTTTCTCTTCTAGTGTATATCTTTATCCTGCTTGACATACTTTTACCTCTGACCTGTGCTTTCTTGCCGGTCTGACCCTCTCTACCTAGTCTCTTTTTCTTTCTCTTATGCTTTACTGTTGTTTCCTTAACTTTACTCTGGGATTAATAGTTGTAATTCTAAAACTAGTTCATCCTAGGCAAGGGATTGGAATCTAGTTGCAACTGACTTAGCCTTTAAACCCAGATGTTATTCTCTCTGGCTCTTCACCAGCTCATACCTCCCTATAGTCTGGTTCCCCAATTTGTACAATATTAGAGGCTTACCCCACATAGAAGTGTGAGTATACACTGGCCAGGGCACCACTGAGATGTTGATTTCCTCGAAAGCAGGGTTTCCTTGCAGCGTGTTCTCTCCTCATTAAGCTACAAGAGAAAGCTTCGTAACAGTTAACTGGTTCCTCTGAAAAGAAAATAAGTAAGGTTAACATTTTTTCTTGAGATACCAGATATGGAACCCAGGACCTCACACTGAAGTGCCTCTCCAGGTCTACCTCCCAGCTCTTTACCTTTACTTAAATAATTTAACTTAATTCTTGGTACTGGTGATTGAACTCAGGTTCTTCACACTGACTACTTCTCTAGCTCTTTTTATTTTTTATTTTGATTTTGAGGCAGGATCACATTAAGTTGCTAAATTGCCCAGGCTGCTGGCTTTTTAAAATTTTTGAAACTGGGTTTCATTAAGTTGTCCCAGCTGGCCTCAAACTTGTGATCCCCCTGCTTCAGCTTCTCAGGTAACTGGGTTTATTATCATGCACCTTTGGGCCCAGTGGATTAACATTCAAATGCATTAGCCTCTCTTGCTTTAATTAAGAAGAAATAAGTCTGCCCTTTAAAATGGAGTCGAAACTTTGTAAAACAATTTCTTATATTACTGATATAAGTTATATGAACATCTGAATATAAATGTAAAAGTACAGTATTATACGCTTCTTTAAAGCTAGGTGGAATGAGGGTTAATTTTTATTTCTCCCTTAGCTGTGAGGGAGCTATTTGGAGAATTGAAAGGAAAAAGCTTAGCGATATGGGTAAATGTTTTCAGATCTTAGTGTTTGATAGCTACAGTGAGAAAACTGTACATATAGAATACGTCTTACCTTTGGGATTTCTTAAAATAGAATGTTGTCCTGTCTCCGATGTGACAAAATAAATAGCCCTTCATAACCACTATTTCACATATGCATAATTCATTTCAATTCCTAACTTCCTTTTTTTTCTCTCTCTCTCTCTTTTAGCCATCGTCTAGAATATTTCAAGCCATTCAGCTTTAACACGCTGCTTGGAGAAGAATGGAAACAACCAGAATCAGATCTGTGGCAAATAGAGAAATCTGATTTATAGGAATATAATGGATAACAATATAAATAATTTTTTGTGTACCTTTTAAGGTAAACCAGTAATTGTAATCTCTTGTAAGACACATATCAACAGCAAATATCTTCATAGAGTCACAGAAAATTCAGTGGGTATCTCTGTAGCAAATTGTGTGATTAACAAGAAGATAGAAAGTAAAGTTATAATTTTTCTCAGGATCATTAGTCTAGGAGCCATGGTGTCAGTGGTAATACTTTCTGCCTTGTGTTACCATCAACCCAAATATCCCTTCTTCTGTCACCAAAATCATTACTTGCCTCCATACTTCCTTAAAGTGCACCTGCCGGAGACTTGGAAATCTTATATTCACAGTTTTAAACTCCTTGTAATATCCAATGATTTATTTTACCATGAATTTTCTGTCCTCTCATAATTAGCCGAAAAATGTGACCTATTTTAGTTGAATAGGAGATCCATATATGTTAAAACAATGTTAAGATACATATAATATTTAACTAGCTGGTTATCCTATCTTGAGACTATTTTTTCACTCTGTAGAAAAGAAAATTAAATTCAGGCAATAAAGTCTGCTTTCATTTACAAATACATGACTTGTTCTTATTGCTACTAAACAAGTTGTCAAAATGTCTCCATTTTATTTTTTAAGCACCAAACATTCCTGGTCTCAAATTTTCAAATTTGTTTTTATCTCAGAGTTTAAAGCTTTCTTGTAGATCATTTATGAACTTCACCACCATCTGGTCTTTCTCCAGCATTCTTAAGACAGAGACCAGCAGTTTTGCAAAAGACAAAGTTTCATTCATTGTGCAGACACCTAGTTAGTTGCCTATTCAGCAATACACTTTCACTTCATCTTTACTAACAGAATTGAATTTTTAGAAGCTTTGCTTAGAACCTACATTTTCCTCAAAAAAAAAAAAAATAAACTACCATATTTTTCCAGCTGCTGCTGCAGATAGACATGAATATAAAATAGTTTATCCAGTGACATATAAGTACAGCTATGGTACATAACAACACTTAGTAAATTACAGATTACATATAGTAGTCCCAGAGGATTATAATTGAACTGAAAACTTCCTACCAACCCGTTGATACAGCAGGTATGACATTATAGTACAATGCGTTACATTTTTCTCTGATACTAGTGTAGACAAGCTTACTATCTTATGTATTTTCAGTGCTATACTTCGTTCATTACTTTAGTGTTCTCCTGCTTATAAAAGAATTTACAGTGAGACAGTATGCTGTGTTATGCCAGCAGCAATCTCATGGCTGGTGTTTATGGCATCTCTTGAGTGAACCAAGAGATAACATTCACTGGTTGACCTATACCATCTAGGTTTGTAAAGTGTACGCTATGGTATTTACACAACAACAAAATCACCTAAGGATACATTACTCAGAACAAGTACCTGTTGTTGTGTGATCCAGGACTATAGACAGTGTTAAGAAGGACTATAACAAAGATATTTTAAAGATAAAGATTCATCTTTCACAAAGCTAACTCAGAATTCATTGTATTTTGCCTTCCCTGTTCTTTTGCATGAGTTGCAAAATTAATACCTGCGGTAGCATAACAGCTATGCTCCCTCAGTATGCTGTGTCATTGTGCTATGTGACAATGAGAACACCTTGGAATACGTGAGTAGGAAGACAAAGAATGCTGGGTTCCCAATAACACAGCAGAGTGATATATTGTATCTGGACTGCCTTCCTATAGAAGTCTTGATGCATGAGGAAAATTTCCCAATTTGTTTGTACAACTTTAAAAAAGTAACTGTTATTTGCAGTTAAATACAATTCTGAACAAATACATCATTCAGTTAGGTGGAAAATGTAAGCTTTGTCCCCTAAGAAGAGAAGTGTGACAAGAATATTCATTTTCATGACTTCCATTCATTATATTAAACCTTCTAGGTAGTTCAGTGAAGGAATAAATATGAATTAAGACACATATTACTAAGAACTTAAATTATTTTAAAATGTATTGTTTACATTTTTAATTATTATAATTTGTACAAAATCCAAAGGAATATGCAGTGAATTCTATAATAAAATTAACAAAGTTGCAGGACATAGGGCAACATATAAAAATAAGTCATATTATAAGCAAACAATTTTTTTTTTTTTTTGGTACCAGCAATCAAACTTAGGTCCTTGTGCTTGTAAGGCAGGTGGCAGAACCACTGAGCTAAATCCCCGGTCCCTATAAGCAAACAATTTAAATTCAAAGAATAGAGCAAAATATAACCAGGATTAAATTTAACCAAATTTCCAAAACCTCTCATTAACTCCTTCTATTCATTTATTAAATATGGTGTTAACTGAAAATAAAAGCTGGGTTCTTTCAGATTGTGTGGAGTTCATTAATTTTGGAATATAATTCTTAACAATTACTCTGAAAGAACCCAGCCCTAAAATACTTAAATTTAAGAGATAGCACTTGAATTTGATAGGAGTCTCTCTGCATAATGAAAGTTCGAATTAAGATTAATTCTCTAATATATAATGGATCACATTTATAATGAATATATGTATATATAATGTTTATATGTGGAGAGACTTTTCGGTCAAATTTTGGACCTTGCCAATTTTCTGATCATTTCTTGCCCTAATTCTGCTTAGAAAGAACAAAACTTACATGGTGCTTACTTCAGCAGCACATAGGCTGAAATTGTAATGATACAGAGAAGATTAGCATGGCTCCTGCGCAAAGAAGACACGCAAATTCATGAAGCAGTCCGTATTAAAAAAAACTTCACCAAGGATTTAGCTCAGTGGTGCTGCCAGCTGCCTCTCAAGTGCAAGGTCCCTAGTTTGATCCCTAGTACAAAACAAACCAAAACAAAAAGCGTATATGACTTACTATTATAACAGTTTATTACTGCCAACTATCATTTTTCATGTCAGAAATAGTAAAAAGAGTTACCTCAAGCTACAACAATAGATATATAAGGAAATCATAAGTCCTGAATATATAAAAAGTGAAGGGTATATATACAAATTTCACCTATGATCTCATGATAAATTAGTAATTAAAATGTCCATATAATTAGATCCATGGAAAAATTTTGTTTGATATATATGAGCCTAATGCATAAAAAGAGAAATAGAAAATAATGCCAAGTGATATTTTGCTTTATTGTTTGAATAGGAACAAAATAACGTATAGGTGTCATTGGTTCTTGAGAGAATTTTAGATCTTTTCTGTTGTTTTACTTTATGCCCCTCAAAAAAATTACAGAGAATGTAACTTTTAGTAAAAACTCAGTTTCTTCTGGCATCCTATCACCTAGAATATCTGTTAAGTAACATTTCTTTGTTGTTGTTTTTGGTACCAGGGATCGAACTCGGGCCCTTGTGCTTGCAAGGCAGGCAACAGAACCACTGAACTAAATCCCTGGCCGTAAGTAGTATTTCTGTCTCAATAATACACTGAACACCGATGTTTGTAATAATGCTCTAAAGCTTCACAGTAAGTAGAGTAAATCTTTTGAAGAGATAGTTTTGTTGACATAGAAAACGAAACTATAAAGTCTGAGCCTTCCAAAAAGTATAAATTGTGCTAGGTACAAATCTATATTTTTGAATGAGATTTGAGGAAAAAAATTCTAAAAAGTATCATAATAGTCCTTGGTTTTCTTCTAAAGGCCTGACCTTGTGAAAGTCACTTCATTAAATTATCTATTACTTTTTTTTTACAGAAACTGTGTTATTAACTTTACATTTAATTTTAACAACAACCTCAAAGAGTCAGATACTCTTGGAATATGTAGCTTTAAACTTTGGGAACTAAGACTTATAGAGTCTATGTTTAACTTTAGATCCCACGATAACCAGGCAGGTTGAGTCAAGAGAAAGCTCTAATTTGACTACTATTCTAGTCTCTCTCTGAGTCTTGATAACATACCTACAAAATAATGCTAATGAACCATAATTGCTTCCTCCCTGCTTCTACAAATAACAAGCAACATGGATGAAAAAGAAGGGCTCATAATGCTTTCATTTTTATGGGAAACACATAGAGAAGATGAATATTTAAGCAACTTCAATTAATAAGCCACTTGTTATGGGAGACACTTTTTTCCCAATTCCATGTAGAGTATTATGTGTTGAAGCAGCATCATACTTGAGAAGTATCCTCACCATTGATGTACTTTGGTGCTGGACTAGTGGCTAATCTGAATGCAACTGCTGGCATTTGTGGAATTTATTATGCTCAGGGAAGGAATCATGGTGTGTTAGAATGTTAGGAAGAAAACCTAGGCTTTGTTGATACTAAATACTTTTACTAACTTCATTTTTTTCAGAGATCAAAAATTGATCTTCAGAAAACATGAAAATTTTGGCAATCAAAATTTCACTCTTGCCTGTAATCCCAGCACTCAGGAGGCTGAGGCAGGAGGATCACTGTGAGCTCGAGACCAGCCTGGACTACATAGTGAGTTCCAGATCAGTCTCAACTACATAGTGAGACCCTGTCTCAAAAAACAAACAAACAAAAAAATTCACTCTTGAATAACTCATAGTAACTATAATCTTTTATCTTTTTATATCAGACACTAATTCATTTAATAGTGATTTATTTTTAAACAATCTTCCTTGCAGTCTCCTTGCACAGCAAGCCTGAAGATTCTAAATGAACCTATTTTCCTGTCCATATGCAATGGCTTAGATATAATGTGTTCCCCAAAAATATATGTATTGGAAGGTTGGTCGCCAACGTACTGTAGGAGGCATTGGAACTTTTAGGAGGTAGAGTCTAGGGGAAGGTCCTTCAGTCAGTGGGGACTTGACTAAGTTCTGCCCTCAGTAGGGAACAGTGGTCTTCAGGAGTGAGTTGTCAAAAGAGTAAATTCTTATAAAAGCCTGAGCTTGATCAGTGAATCGTTCTCTGGATTCCTGTCTTGTAATATAATCTCTCACTTCCATGTTGCTGTTAGGCTATTGCCAGGGGCTTGTCCATTACAACCACTCATCTTAAACTTTCAGCCTCTAAAAACTGTGAGCTAAGTAAATACATTTTCTTTATAAATTTACCCAGCTTCAGATACTTTGTTATAGTAAAGAAAATGGACAAATATACCTTATTACCTTTGCATTGCTAGAGGAAAATACCTGATACATATACTTTAAAAGAAAAAAGATTTATTTTGGTTCATCGTTTCAGAAGTTTCAGTCAATGGTTGGCTGAATCCAAGGCAAAAGCATCATGGCAGGAGTGCATGGCAGAGGAAAGCTGCTCACTTCAGGGCAGCCAGGAAGCAGAAAGAGCAAGGAAGCCAAAGAGTGAGATGCACCCTTCAAGGGCACACCCCCAGTGACCCATGTATATGAAAATTTTTTCCTATTTTGGATCTAATCAAAGTTAAAAGTCCATTAATTTATATTGTTTATAGGAAAACATACTAGATTTTTAAAAAGCATATTAGATTTTTGCTGTTGTATCTTGTAGTAACTTACGAATACCAAAAGACTCAATGATTAGTCATTGGAGAAAATTTAGAGAACTTTGCACCCAAATATGTCTTTGATGCATCTTAAAAACTAAATAAAAGCAATCTTTAAGTTAATTTTATTTATAAATTGAGAATAAAGTGGATAGATAGATAAAACTTGCCTTTTTTGTAGCTCAAAATTCAAATTTACTCATTAGAAGTGGCCTCTTTGCACAACAGTAACTTCTTCCATAATGTATATGTTAGTATGCTTTAGGTTACAAGTAAAAATAAAATCAGCTCAAACCAATTTAAACAATGGGGTTTGGTGGACTTCCAACTGTCAATCTAGAGATATTGTGTCTCTGGCTCCCTTTATGTATGATTTTCTTGCTCTGCTTTTTCAGATCTTTTTAATCCAAAGTGAGCTTTTCTTCATGTAGACAAAATGTCTATGGCTAGTGCAGGTCTCACAATTATAAAATATCAAGGTAGCACAAGAGAAAATAGTGATTTGTGATCCCAGTCTAAATGTTTTCTACGCATCTTAGAAAACTATAGTTTTCCTCAGACAAAGGACTATTATCTAGAATATATAAAGAACTCAAAACAACCAGCCTCCCAAATATAAAGACCTGATTCAAAAATGGGCATCTGAAATGAACAGACATTTCTCAGACAAAGAAGTAAAAGCAGCATGTAATTATTTGAAGAAATGTTCCACATCACTGGTCATTCAAGAGATGCAGATGAAAACAACACTGAGATTCCACCTCACCCCACAAAGAATGGCTGCTATCAGGAAATCACACAATAACAAATGTTGGCAGGGGTGGGGAGAGAAAGGAACCCTTCTCCATTGCTAGTGGGAGTGCAGACTGGTGCAACCACTATGGAAATCAATATGGAGATACCTCAGAGAACTAGGACTAGAGGTTGCATTTGACCCAGCCATCCCTCTGCTGGGTATCTTTCCAAAAGAACTAAAAGAATCATATCACAGTGATATATATATGTGCACCCATGTTTATAGCAGCACAGTTTATAATAGCTAAAACTTGGAAACAGCCCATTTGCCCATCTGTTGGAAACTGGATAAAGAAGATGTGGTTTTTCTGTAAAATGGAATATTACTCAGCCATAAAGAATGAGAAATTAGATTCATTCATAGGAAAATGGATACATATTGAGGATATACTCCTAAGTGAAATAAATAAGTCACACGTGTAAATACCAAATAGTTTCTCTGGTGTGAATAAACTGTAATAGTACATAATATCCTAATGAGATAACTGACATTGTATAATGGGAAGAAAAGGGCTAAAGGTGTAGGGAAGGTGGGATGGGTAGGGGAAGGGTAAATAAGGGAAAAGAAAAAATGGGAGAAAATGAAAAGATGGAAACAAAGTGTTTGTAAATGGGGAGGGGAAGAGGGGGTGAAGGGTGTGCAGGGACAAGGGGAAAAAATGAGAACCAAGACCTGTCATGCAGAGGTACAAAATCCCAACAATGAATGTAGCTGTACTGTATCCCTAAAATGTACCAATAAACTCAATTTTAAAAAAAGAAAACTATAGAGTTTTCTGTAGTCTGCCTTCAAATATTTGACTGTTGCCTGTATTTTCTGTGAATTAAATCTGCAAGATTGATCACATTCTAATTTAATTTTTGATAAGAATATTTCACAAATGGTGTATTTTTCTATCTTGAGATGTATAACATCTCTCATTGTGTGGTGTTAGAAAGCATATCCCTAAAGTACCAATAAACTCAATTTTAAAAAAAGAAAACTATAGAGTTTTCTGTAGTCTGCCTTCAAATATTTGACTGTTGCCTGTATTTTCTGTGAATTAAATCTGCAAGATTGATCACATTCTAATTTAATTTTTGATAAGAATATTTCACAAATGGTGTATTTTTCTATCTTGAGATGTATAACATCTCTCATTGTGTGGTGTTAGAAAGCATTGATGAGCATTGCCTAGATCCATGAATTCATTAGAGCTTGTAAAATGTTGTTATTCTAATTTTTTTCATTCAGTATTTCTTACAAATATACTTTCTTGGGTACCATGAAGCACTGCTTTTATAGGATAAATGCTTGATTCTTTCATTTTACTTAGAGTTGTCGGAATTAATTGATTTTCTAGCATCCTGCAAAAATGACCAATGAGCGTTTATAAAATAGGATTATGAACTCAAGGATATAAAAATCAATGTGTACCAGTCCATTATAGTTTTCTTATTGATGTTGAATTTTTCCATCTTTGCCAGTGGGAATCTAAATTGGTTCATGTTTTTTTCATCTGGCTC